GCAATGATGGGCTCAAGTATAGCAGGGATTGTGGGGCTGGCGCGGGATCGGGTAGTGTTTCGTTCTGCTGTGCATGGGGTCGCTATGAGTTGGAAATGACTCGACGGCACTTAACAACAACAACAACAAATGGCATTTTTTATATCAGCTTACCTAGATCTATCTTCTTAACAGCCATAGAGAGCTCAAGTTCAAAGACATTCCATGAGTTATAAAACCCATCTGCTGTTGATCAATGTTAAGTTCGTTCCCAGTTTTCACCATAGAAAAAATGACCTCTTTGACATTACAAATTTTTAGAGTATATTTTTAAAAACTAAAATCTGGATTCATTGCTTGATGAACATCTACAAATAAATGGAATAAAAGAGGACCCAGAGAAATGTCATTCAATGAGAAAGGAAGGTAGGTTCTACTGGCAAGGCCTAATCACTCCATAGTGGCCACAGGATGGGGCTGCCTCAGGGAGGACAAGAGAGGAATAATGAGATTCTTAAATTGTCTGCTGTCATGGACCCCTTAGAGAACTTGCTAGAAGCTATACCTTTTCTGAGGAAGATGTTAGCACCTGTACCTGCCTAACAACCATGCACCCTGACTTTTCTTTGGTAAACAACCACCCTCCCTGTCATGGATGGAATTGTGTCCCCAAAAAAAGTGTCAACTTGGCTAGGCCGTGATTTCCAGTGTTGTGTGATTAGCCTCCATTTTGTGATGTGCTATAATCCCTAACCTCTGGGATTAATGAGGCAGAATTAGGTTATGTTAAAGAGGATTAGGTTATGTTTTTATGTTAATAAGTCAGTATTAGGGAGGGGTACATAACCCTTACTAACACCTCCCTTACTCAGGTCACAGCCTGATCCACGTATGGGAAATTTCCCTGGGTGTGGCCTACATTGCCATTTATCATACACGAGATGAAAGGAGAGAGAAGGGAGCAGAGAAAGAGGGAACTACCACCACCAGAGAAGATCTGGGAGCAGAGCACGTCCTTTGGGCTCAGGGTCCCTGTGCTGAGAACTTCCTAGACCCTGGGGAAGGTTGATCCCAAGACACATGGAGATCTTCAGGTGCACTGGGCCCACAGCTGTTGAAAGGAGAAAGAAACTTCCTTCAGAGCCAACAGAGAGAAAAAAAATCTTCCTCTAGATCCAGCACTGTGAATTTAGACTTCTAGCCGCCATCCACTTGTGGTATCTCTGTTATAGGAGCACTAGTTAACTAAGACAGAATTTGGTATCTGAAAAGTAAGATGCTGCTCTAACAGATGCCTAAAATATGAAAGCTGTTTTGGAATTGAGTAATGAGTAAGGCTAGAAGAGTTTTAAGGTGCCTAACAGTAAGAGCCTAGATCAACTTAAAGAGACTGTTTTGGCATTACGGACATCAAAGGCAATTCTTGTGAGGCTTAGAAGGAACTGAGGAGAGCTTAATACTGGAGATGGTGCATACAGTGAGAAGGGGCAGAGAAATGGCAGCAACAGAACCAGGGGACTGGTATGAGAGGGCATGGCAGCCAACCCACGGAGTAGGAGGCCTTATGGCAGAAGGCTTCCTGGTGGAGTTTAATGCCTTTGGGCACTTGTTGGCAGAACTAGGCTTGCCAGCCCACAGAGTAAGAGAGCTGAGCACTTTCAGGCCGAGGCTTATGGTCAGTTAGGGTGCCTCCAGGCACTTATTTGTAGATCTAAAAAGCTCTGTAGCACTTGCCTGAGTAGGACAGAAGGCAGGCTGGCCCAAGAGCCCCAAGGGGTCCAGAGGTCAAGAGAAAATGAAGCAGAAGCTGTAGAAACAAAGTGCTTTGGAAACAGAGCCGCCTTGGTCTCAAAGGATAGAGCCGTGACCTCTGGGCTCTCGAAGTGGGAGTGGGAGGGGGTATGGCCTCTCGGGCTTCAAAGAGTGAAGCCACAGCCTCCCAGGTTTCAAAGAGTCAGATATTCACAAAACTGGTACTGCAGTGTGTGGCTGCCATTCACATGTGACAGGGAGATGGAGCCAGATCTGCTGCCCAAAGCTGAGGGGACAGGGCTGCCATGCCCAAGGGGCAGAAGAATGGGGCCCGTGGGGGCCGATGGGTGGGGTTGCCACTTAGCTGGACTTTGTAGAAGCCAAGAGAGCAGAGTTGCCATCTCAGTGGGCCCAGCAGGCAGAGCTGAAGTCCAGGACTGAGAGGCCTCCACCCAGAACTCAGAGGGCATGGCTGTCACCCAGAGTCTGGAGGGTAGGGTCATTGCCTAGATGGTATTAGGAACTGAGGATTATTTTCAAGCCTTAGGATTTAATGTGAGTAGTTCTCTGGGTTTTGAACTTACTGGGTGCCTATTATTCCTTCTTTTCCTCCTATTTCTCCCATGTGTAATGGAAATGTCTACCTCGTGCCTGTTCCACCATTATACTTTGGAAAGAGATAACTTGTATTCTAAATTTCACAGGTTCACAGATGAAGAAGAATTTTGCCCCAGGATGGAATTTGAACTTGGAATTGACTTTAAAATTTTGGGATGATATAAAGCCATCCACTTGTGGTATGTCTGTTATACAGCACTAGATAATTAAGAAAGTCCCCAATACCACTACGAGACACATCCTTAACAGAACCAGTCAAGATTTTCTGCCTTCTCCAGCCAAAGGATGGGCCTAAAACTCAAGCCAAGACAGTGAGATTCAATTCCTAGACGTTGACTAAAACTTTTGGTAGAGAGTCTCTTTCTCACTGCCATGTTGCTTAATTATAAAGATGCAAGTCTGGTGTTGCCAAAGAAATCTTGTCTGAGAATGAAGCAGATCTTCTGGAAACATAGATTGAACACCTGGATCCAGATATACCTGAAACCAGCTCTACTGACTCAGTTACATGAGGCAATAAATTCTATTTTATGCTTCAGCCTGAGCCAGTTGGTATGGTTTCTGCTATTTCCACTGAAAGAGTTCTTGTTCATTCACCCTTGCCCCAAATGAAAACAATTGCATTAATTCAGCTAGTCTTTATTGAACATCTAGTCCATGGTCAGCCCTGTGCTGGGCAATGCATGATCATGACAGAACTGATCCTTTCCCTCATGATGATCCCAGTCCACTAGAGCTTAAACACACAATCTGTGACAATGTCAACACCTGAAACACTGAAGGAGATACTAAAGGGGAAGCTCAGGGAGCTGTGAGAGAGGCGTATGTGAGTGGGGCGGTGGGGGTGGTGGGATGGTGGGATGAAGGATCCTCTGAGAATGGGGCCTTTAAGCTGAGACTTGAAAGATGGGCAGGGATCAGCCAAGTGAAATGGGGTCAAGGACAGTGTCCATGCACACATTTCTAGGGGTTTTAGAGTACCCCAAGGCCCACCAGAGCACAGAGACCTTGGGAATAGAAGGCGGGAAGGGGGAGGTGGGAAGGGTAGAGACGAGGTGATCATCCAGGCTCCAGCCACTGGAAGTGGAAGCAGGAGGAGAAGGAAGCTGAGATGTGCCCTTGGCCTGTCCTCTTTGTTTCTCATATTGTGGTGTAGAAATACATGGCTATCAGCATCACAGGGAGCTAGGCAAGGAAGCAGTCAGATGAGGGACTCACCAGCCCCATGCCCACATCCCACCCAGCCCATAGGCTTCCTGCCTCTCACCGTCCACATCAGGATGGCGAATCCAAACCATGAGATGCCCCAAGTGTAGCTGTTGATGGCATGGCCAATGTGCTCAAAGCAGCCCTGGGTAGGGGACAAAAGAAGGTTTGAGAAGATGTCCAGGGAGCCTGGCAGCTAGGGACAAGAGACTCTGTGCCCTCTTGGGAAAGTCACTTCCTTCCCCAAGCCCTGGTTCCCTCACCGGTGCAATGGGGATCATGGAAGTATCTACTTCCCAAGGTGGTTTCAGAGAACCAGAGAGGTGACATTGAACTCAAACCCACACATGCAGTCACCATCCTGCTGATGGCTGTGGCTATGACAATCTGAAGGTGGATGTTCTTAGAGTCAGTGTTCCATTCCACTCACAAATTCTAAGGGCTTGAGATACACTTTTAGGACCAGCCCAGTTCTGACCCCTCTTCATGGAGAGATGAGGTTGAATGAGGTCAGAGTCATGCCGACTTCTGCCCCGTCTTGAGAACACCCAAGAATAGATGTCCAGGGTACATGTCCAGGAGTCCATGTTGAGGGCCAGCTCTACTGTTTGGTAGTTATGGGTCCCAGATATGACTCTGAGCCTCTGAGCTTCACTCTTCCCATCTTTGAGGTGGTCATCTTGACAGCACTGCTCTCAGAGAGCAGTTACAGGGATTCCATGAGATGATGTGTGTAAGCCTCTGCAAAGTTAAGGCTTCAGAAACCTCCATGCTGTCTTATTATGGTTATGGTTTTCACACAGGCTCCCCTCTCTATGACACCTAATCTAAGACATGAGGCTGAAGGGCCTCCGAGTAGCCAAAAGCAGCAGAAGGACCACGGGGGGTGGGGGATGGTTCTCTTGTTTAGTGTAACTCCTGGTTTCTTTCCCTGGCTCCACATTCAATTTTCACTGCTCACTGCCGTTGAGTCGGACCCAACTCATAACGACCCCTCCTTGGGTTTCTGAGACAGTATCACTACAGAAGTAGATTGCCCAACGTTCCTTCCAAGGAGTGACTGGTGGGTTTGAACTGCCAGCCTTCTGGTTAGCAGTCAAGTGTCTTAGGCACTGCGCCACCAGAGCTCCTCCAGTGGTTAAGGCCCCTGGTTGGGGGCCTGACTGCCTAAAATGGAATCCCAGCTTCCTCCCTCACTAACAGGTGACCTTTCAGTTTGATCATCTATAAAAGAGGGATGGTATTATAATCTTTGGAGTCCCTGAGTGGTGCAAATGATTCATGTGCCCAGCTGCTAACAAAAGCATTGGAGGGTCTAGTCCACCCAGGAGCACCTCTGGAGAAAGGCTGGAAATTCATTTCCAAAAAGTCAGCCATTGACAATCCTGTGGAGCACAGTCTACTCTGACACACACGGGTCACTGAGTTGGAACTGACTTGATGGCAACTGACTCATAAACTTTACCCCATAAGGTTGTGACAAGGATTAAATATGATAAAACGTAAAATGCTTAGAAGAATGCCTGGGACGGTACATGTTGATCATTATTGGTTTGTGTTGCTATTGTTATTAGTGTTGCTTTTACTCTCTTCACCCAGACAACCTGAGAAAAATTGCAGGGGCCAGTGCCGGATGGAGCAGCCCCTGCCTGCATCTTATTGACTGGCTCATGGCCTCTGGCAAGTGCCCTCCCCTAAGGCAGTCGTGCTCAGAGTCTGACCAACAGGATTGATGTCATCTGGAAATTTGTTAGAAATGCACATTCTTGGGCCTCACCCCAGACACCCTGAATCAGCAATTGGATGTGCTTTCCTCCAGGTGATTGTGACACAGGAAAGTTTGAGAAGCTTGTCTCAGAGACTTCAGTCACCTTACCCATGGACCAGGCAGCTCAGGACTTCCTACCAGGGCTGATGGGAAGAATCAGGGAGAGCAGCATGGAGAGGGTGTGGCAGGGGCTGGGCACCCAAATGGACACTTGGGGAAATAGGGGGAGAGACTACTTCACGTTAGAAAGAAGCAGAGGGAATGATGTACAGAGAAGGGAACAGGCAGAGTGAGGGAGTATGAGAGAGAGAGAGGGAGAGGGAGAGGGAGAGGGAGAGGGAGAGAGAGAGATGGCGCAGAGACCGAAGAGAGAAGGAAGGGAAAATCGTATTGAAGGAGGAATTGAGAAACAGGAGGGAGAGGAGATAGAAGACAGATGGAGGAAGGGAGAAAGAAAAAGAGAAAGGTCAGGAAAGAGAGAGACAAGGGAAGAGAGAGACTCAGAGATACAAAGGAGAGACCCAGACCCAGAAAGAGACAGTCAGAGGAAGGGAGGGCCAGGTGGAGAGAGTTAAGAAGGCCGAGAGAAGGGAGCAGAAGAGAGGGCCAGAGAGGGGAGGAGGAGAGAATGGGAGACAAGCAGACAGTGGAGGGGGAGGTAGGGGAGTCAGAGAGGAAGCAAGCAGTAAGGACCAGAGAGGGAAAGGCGGACAGGCAGGAGAGGCAGGACCGAGGGAGACAGCACACCTTGGTGAACAGGTAGTCCACGTGGCCTACGCGGCAGCCTTCCTCATTAAGGGGGATGAAGTTGCCAGTCCGTTGGCAGCACAGTGGGGGCCAGGGGAACACCACCTCTGGAGTGGCTGTCCGGAAGGCTGATGTAAAGTTCACCCAGTCCATGGGCCCGGAGGTGCCGCAGCACTCTTGCTGGGGAAGGAAAGGCTGGGTCAGGCAAGCTCAGGCTCAGAGAGGCCAGCCACTCACCTGAGACCACACAGTGAACGGGGACAAACTGGACTTTCGCCATAGCCTGGGCCTCAAAGTGTGTGTGTGGGGACAGGTCCCTCTCTCTCTCTCTCTCTCTCTCTCTCCCTCTCTCTGTGTGCGCATATGAGGCTGATGAGGGATTCAGATGGAACCCACACCCGTGTTTGGTTTAAAAATTTTGTTTGAATTAGTTGTTAACAAAAACTGCAGTAAATGATACGAAGAGGCAGATTTCTGGCTTTTGCTGGCCCCTGTGTGTGTTTGCATTTGTGGCTCATGAAATGATGAAAACATAGACTTGGGAATCCTTCAAACATGGGTTCAAATCCTGGCCATCTGTGTGACTTGGGCCAAAAAGGACCCCAGTTTCCTTTGGGACCTTGATTTCCTCTTCTTGAGATGCAGTATCATGTTGAGTTTAATTCAGAGCATGGCTTCTGGAACTTTGCAGCCTGGGTTTGACTCCTTCGGGCTCTGTGCTATTGGGCAAGTCACTTACCTTCTCACCTTCGTAACCTCATCTGTAAAAAGCTGACTATAGGACCTCCCTCATGCACTGGTTGTGAGGATTAAGTAAGCTTTAGAAGTGCTTTGAATAGAGCTAAATAGAAGTTACTACTCAACCAATGCTTGCTAGCATTACCATTGTTGTTATTATTATTGCTGAGGCAGTATAGTGTAATGGTTAAGAGCAGGGCTCTGGTCCAGGCTGCCAGGTTCAAATTCTGACTCTGCCACTTACCAATTGTGTGACCCTGGGTAAGTGACTTCCCTTTCTGAGCCTGTTTCTCATCTGGAAGATGTCAGTGAGTAGAGCCATTCCCCCACAGAGATCACTGACTGCACACCTGTAAAGCACTCACTCATCGGTGTCTGTGGACTGAGCCCCAGGCCTTCCCTGTGTGCCCCCCACTCCATTGTTGCTAGCTGCTGTGGAACCAGCCTGCCTCACAGTGAACCCATGCACTACTACATGAAGCCTCATCCGTCAACACCTCCATGATCAGCTGTAGGTCAGACCCTTGTGTCCATCAGGTTTTCATCGACTGATTTTTGGAAGTAGATTGCCAACATTTCTTTCCAGTTGGCCTTAGTCTGCAAGCTCTGATGGAACCTGGTCAGCATCACGCAAACCTCCACTGAGAGATGGTGGTGGCTGCATGTGAGGAGCACTGCCTGGGAATCGAACTTGGGTCTTCCGCACAGAAGGTGGACATTGTGCCACTGAAACACAGCTGCCCTCTTTCTCCCACGCTGGCCTACCTCAATCATGATGCGGTCCCAGAGGCGGGTCAGCTCCTGGCCCTGGTCCGTGTCTGCACTATAGAAGGTCAGCATCTGCTTGGTGATTAGGGATGGGTTGGATACCATCTGCAGAGGGCCAGGAAGAATAGGATCTAGAAGGGAGGTGATCCCCCCACACCTAGGAACCACACCCGCCCAAAGGAGTCAAACCCATCCCATGGCCTCTGATGAGTTCTTGGCTCACGTAGTCTCGATGGGTGTAAGATGTGATGCAGGAGGCGCACTCAAAGATGTAGACGATGAGCATGAGCACCAGGTACTGAGGAGAGACGGAGGGAGGGGCTGCCAGTCAAGGAAAGGCTGTGAAGTCACGCCCCCTGAAGGACTGATTGGTGGATAGAAATGTAATTTGTAAAACAGTGCAGGGCAATATGAATGATAGCATACATTATGGGTACATGGTGTTTCTTGTACACTTGTTTGAACTTTTCTGTATGCTTGAGCTTTTTGATAGTCAAATGTTGGGTAAAATGAAATCAATAACAAATAGTTTAACTATGTAAAATAATTTCTAAAGTTAACAATTGACTTGGAATCTGTCAAGTAAATGTCTACTCAGAAAACCAAACTCACTGCCATTGAGTCAATTCCAACTCATAGCAACCCCCTCTGGGTTTTCAAGGCTGTAAATCTTTAGGAAGAAGACTGCCCCATCTTTCTTCCGAAGAGTGGCTGGTGGGTTCAAACCATTCAACTTTTGGTTAGCGGCCAAATACCTTCACCACTACACCACCAGAGCTCCCTAAATATCTACTATAAAAAGAAGAAGAAGAAGACATTCTCCAGACAATTAGATTGAGCGCAGATCAAGTATTGGAAGATAGGATGAAATTAGGTGAATTTTGGGGGTGTACCAATGACATGGTGGTTATGGGGGGGAAGGACTGTGTAGTTGGTGCTTAATGAAAATTATTTTCCCATTTTCACCCCTCGCCCAAATCCTTAGCTGTCCTCACCCCTCACCCTTAAAGCAATAAGGGCTTGGTTGTGAATATGCTAACTCTGCCACTCTGTAAGCAGAGGATACTGCGTAACCAGCCTGACTGCTTTAAACAACGTCCTTATCACCCAGAGAAATGTGCACTCAAGTATTTACAGGTAAAATGACTTGGTGTCTGGAATGTGCTTCAAGATACCCCAGGGGAAAAAAAAAAAGTAGGCAAGCAGAGGGTGGAGGAGAGGCAACAGGTTAATCACATCTGTGGTTGATGTTGTTGGAACCAGGAATGAGTTCACTGGGTTCATCATGCCATCACTGTAGTCTGTCTGAAATTTCCCATAGCAAAAACTTAAAAAATTTCAAGTGTTACTTGATGTGTTAGTTAAAGGCAGACTAACAGGGAAGACAGATACAGAATCAAACTTTTTTTTTTTTTTAAGCAATTGGATGAACTTGCAGGTTTTGGTTGAATTGTTCTGCCAGAAGATTAAATAAAGGTGTTTATTTATTTATTTTAAAGAGATGAAAAAACCCCTCCCATGGCTCTGTCTCACTCAGGGGAAAGCCCAAATCCTCACCAGGACCCACAAGGCCCCCCTGGTCAGCCCACTTCCCTTCCCTCACTCTGTACCCCCTACCCCTGCCCATCACTTCTCTCCCACACCTCCCTGCGCTCATCTCCTCCTACTCTCCCCTCCCTCCCTCAGCTCCAGCTGCACTGCCTCCTGGTCCCCTCTGGACTCGTAGCCTTGACTCTTGTTGTTCCCTATGCCTGGAACACGTTTCCTCTGGAGACATCCAGGACTAAATCCCTCACCTCCTTCAGGTATGCACTTTCTCTGGCTGTGAGGCCTTCCCTCCCTTTTCACCAGCTCCTGATTTCCCTTCCCTGTTCATTGTCTTTCCCTTCAGAGCACCAATCCCCCAGGGCAAGAGCCCTGTTTACCACTATAGCCACAGTGCCTACCACAGGGCTTGGCACAGGGTTCTTACTCAGTAGGTATTTGTTGATTTAATAAGTAGCCATTCCTAGGAGTCTAAAAGACTATCAACTGTAGAGGAAGGACAATATCAGACAGGCTGGGATTGGAATCTCTGCTCTCTCAATGACCTGGACTGTTGGCCTCTTTGGATCTGCAACAGGGGCTGCCTCACAACTAGAGAAAGCAAATATATCTGAAGGAGGTGAGGGAATTGGTCACGGATTTACCTGGAGGAACAGTGTTCCAGGCAGTTTCCTCATCTAGTAAATGGGTAAAGAAACATTCACCTCAGAGGGCAACTGAAAGGATTGAGGGAGCTCATGTCTTTAAATCACTTAGCCCAGTGTCAGGCATGTGAGAAGTACTCAAGAAGTATGGGTTGTCATGTTATCATTGTTGGTGGCAGAGATTGAGAGCACAGGCTCAAAACCTGGCTCTGCCACTTGGTTTGCTGTGTGCCCCTGGATGAGTGATTTCTCTAAGACTCAGTTTCAATGTCTGCCAAATGCACTCATGATTATGATAACAATGACAGTGATGATGATGATACTTATTTCATTGCAGACTGAGGAATAAGTGAACTTATCCATGTAAAGCGTTTAGAACAGCTTTAATGGCCACTCAGTAAACGGTAACTATGAGAGCTCTGGTAGCGTAGTGCCTAAGGCACTTGACTGCTAACCAGAAGGCTGGCGGTTGAAACCCACCAGATGGGGCAATCCACCTCCGTAGTGATACTGCCTCAGAAACCCCAGGAGGGGTCACTATGGGTCAGATCTGACTCCATGGCAATGGTTGCCTTTGCCTTGCCTTGTGCTGTTATTACTGTTGTCATTCTTATCGGAAGAGTTCATGAGCACAGACTCTGGAGATTGACTACCTGAAGTTCAAATCCCAGCCAGGCTACCCAAAGGGAGAGCCATCCTCCCGCGAAGCTTCCCCTCTTTCTTATGACCAGTTATCTTCCTTGTCAAGTGAGGGCAACAGCAGAGCCCAGGTTACCGGAAAAATGCAATGAAATGATGCCTGTGAGGCCCCTAGTGAGGGGCCGTGCTGAACACACAACGTAGCTGCGGTAATTATTGTTATGACTCTGGTAGCTGCAGTGGTTGTTATCATGACTCTGGGATGGTGATCTTTGTGCCACCCCATCCCCAGTCCCTGCTTTGGGGGCCTCACCGTGAGGATCATGGCCTTGCTGCGGGAGAGTGCAGCACCCACGCCGAAGCTGGCCACCACGAAGAAGGAGAAACCGCAGAAGATGGCAATCCAAGCGCCAGCGAAGACATCGTCCTTACCCGAGACGCCCATCAGAGGGTAAACACGATACTGGTCAGCCGTCACCCACACTGTCTCAGCAAACAGGGCCAGGCCTGACAGCTGGACAGAGCAACTGGTTAGAAAGGCCTGCTCACTAAGTCCCTTCCTTCCTCTAAGCTTCCACAGTCCTCTTAGTAAAATAGACATGTAATAACAGTGACAAAGACATCACCCTCCCAGGGTTGCTGGAAGGCTGAAAGGACATGCCACAGCAAAGCCAGGAATGCATGCCTGGCACAGAGGAGATGCTTGCAAAACCCACTTGCCCTTAATAGTGTTGTTATTCTTTGAAGAGGGGACATTTAAAAATTACAAACAAATCAACCCCTTGGCTCAGCAATTCTACATCCAGAAATCAATCCTATAGATGCACCTAGGAAAATCACATAGGAAAATCACCAACTCACAAGGTCCTTCCTAGAAGCATTGTGGGTAATGGGACCAGGATGCCAGACGACGGATACTGTGCAGTTGTGGGGAAGGGTGGGAAGGCTCTCTGAGGACTGTATGGAATGGAGTGATCCACAAGCTATCCCACGAGGACAGAAAGGGGGCGTGGAACCAAATGAGCCATATTTTGGAGAAAATGTGCATATGTGCTTTTATTGGCTTAATGTAAATATAGGAGAAACTAAAAATATGGTTACCCATAGCAGTAAGAGGGAGGGAACTCTGGTGGTGCACTGGGTAAGGCATTTGGCTGCTAATCAGAAGGTCAGCAGTTCTAATCCACCAGCTGCTCCCCAGAAGGAAGATAAAGATTTATAGCCTGGGAAACCCAATGGGAAATCGACTTGATGGCAGTGGATTTGGCTTTGTACAGGGGTGAAGGATGGGAAGCAAGGGGGCAGGGAACTTCTTAATGGATGCTTTTGACAACAATAAAAGCTAACACAGAGCACTACACGTCGGCCAAATCCCACTGCCATTGAGTTGATTCCAGCTCACAGTGACCCCCACTGGGTTTCCAAGGCGGTCAATCCTCACAGAAGTGGTCCATGGAGCAACTGGTGGGTTTAAACCACCAACCTTCTATTTAGCAGTCAAATACCTTAGGCACTGTGCCACCAGAGCTCCTTACTATGTGCCAGGCATAGGTCTACCTAAGGGCTTTAAGTGTAACAACCATTTCTGTTATCAGCTGTGGAGTCACTATTATGTTTGGGGCCAATACAAATTGTGACCAGGTGCCAAACACTTTTCTAAACTCATTCATCCAATAACCCATTTCATCCTTATAGCATCTTACAGATGAGGAAATGGAGGTCCAGAGAGGTTACATCACTGGCTCCAGGTCCCACAATTAGAAAGTGGCAGAGTCAGGATTTGAACCTAGGCTTCCTGACTCCAGAGGCATGTGCAGGTGCACACATTAAAATAAAACAACCAAACACACACACATAGACACAAACCCCTCATTAATTAAAACACCTTGTGCTTATTCGTTGCTCTGGGCCTCCCGTGTGCTGAGCAGTGACTATTCCATAATGATGTTGTTAATGTAGCTAACATTCGTTACGCACTGAAGTCAGACGTGGATAACAAACACAAAACCGACAATCACATAATGAGGACACCACTGACAGACAGGGTAACAGAGGTATAGAGAAGGAAAGTCACTTGCTCAAGGCCGAGGACTTGGGAGAGGTGGGGCTGGCATTCAAATCCAGACTGCTTTAACTTGAGATCCTTCTTGTTTGGGGGGTCTTGAGCCCTCAGTCCCCATCCCAGGCTCACGAGAGCTCTTTTCCTGCCACACACCCACTAAGTGCCCCAATATTCTCACCAGAATAATGATGTTGCCAACCACCAGCAGCCCCACCACAACTGGGGATCCTTTCCTTGCCTCCACCGCTGCAGAAGCCATGGTCCTGCCTGGGACATATGAGCAAGGGTGAGGCTGAGCAGAGGCCAAGAGGAGAGGGAGGACCCAGCCCACCTCACCCCCTCACCTCACACCCAGCTGCCAGGGGCTGCTCTGTGCCACTCTGTGCTGGGTCCAGGCTGGTGCTGAACGTGCCTAGCCTCCCACAACCCTGGTGGTGAGCGCTGATCCGAGACCCATTTTACAGAAGAGGAAACCAAGGCTCAGGCAGGGCAGTCACTGGCCAGAACTCAAAGCTGCCCCTCCTTGATCTCCAGGCCCTCCCGTCACCGGCCCCCAAGCCCCCTGTTACATCCAGACCTTCAGATCCCCACCTCACCTTCTCTGCCTGAAGCCTCTCTGACCAGCCTCTGGGCCACGGTTGCTCCCTATATATGCCCTCGCCTCACCTTGGGGCAGTGTACAAAGAAGGAGGGGGGATATCCAGAGGAAAGACAAAAGGCCAGGCGGGCAGACCAGGGTAGGGGAATGGCTTTTATGAGCTCCCCTCCAAAGTGATTTATGAACCTGAAATTCCAGATTGTGCTGGTGTCTGGCCACATGGGCAGGGTGATGAGTGTTTGTGTGTCCTGTGTGCCCTGGTTCCCAGGTTTTGGTGGTGATAGTGTGCAGTGGGGTGGGAGGGGGAGTGTACTACCAGAGCTTCCTCCTATCTCTGGGCCTTCCTGGGAGCAAGAGAGAGAGAGAGACAGAGAGAGAGAGAGAGATACAAGTTGGACCTTTGTCTGAATTCTGAATTCCATCTTTGTCTCTTGCAGCTGTGTGTGACCTTGGGTAGGTGGCTCCACCTCTCTGAGGCCAGGAGCCCAGGGAGAAGCCCAAGCAGGGAGGCAAGGGCGGGGCTGGATCAGAAACATAGAGGAAGAGCTGAGGTGGTGGGTGGAGGTTCAGGAGGCTGAGGGGGACTGTGGAGTGATAGTGGAGACCACACAGAGATGGGTATGAGGGAGGAGTTAAAGGAAACGAGGGTGCAATGTGCTGGGGATGTTTTAGAAAGAGGAAAAGGGGACTTAGTGGGAGAAACTTCTTCCACATACAAGTATGTCGACAATGCAGGGTCACAGTGACAAGACAAAGGTCAAAATGCTTGCAGGCCGCAGAATAGAGAAGAGACCTAGGTTCACATCCCAGCTCCACTCCTTCTGTGCCACCACTTGGTGTGTGCCATCAGCAGAATGGGTACCATCAGCCCACCTTTCTAAGCAGCAGAGGGAACTGAGTGAGGGATGTCTATAAAGCCCTCGTTGTGGGTCTTGGTTCTTAGCCCATGGTAATGCCTTCCCATCAGTGCTCCCCAAAGGGTCCACGTTCCCTTCAATGGCACCGCCTGGTGGCACAAGGCTGATTCCACAGGAGAAAATGGTGGCTTGCAGCCCCCAATCCTCGTGCCCCACAAAACCAAACCTGTTGCCATTGAGTCAATTCCAACTCCTAGCAACCCTACAGGACACAGTAGAACTGTCCCCAGAGGGTTTCCAAGGTTATAAATCTTGCCACATCTTTCATCCAGAGTGGCTGGTGGGTGGGAACCACCAACCTTTTGGTGTTAGCAGCTGAGTGCTTTAACCACTATGCAACCAGGGTCCTCAAACCTTCTCCAGAACTTCTCAGTTCTGAGGGCCAGGGTATTTATTACATTTTCTCTCTGAGCTGTGACTTCCCCAGTCTACGTGAGATGGACAAGCAGAAGGTACTCAGGATTTCAATTGTCAGACACTGGTTTGGTTAATAAGACATAAAGGATGTTTTCCTATTAAAATGTTTAATTTGGGGATGGAATCCTCCCAAATTCATTTTATGAAGCAAGCATAACCTTGATACCCAAACCAGGCAAAGACATCACTAAAAAGGAAAACTACAGACCAATATCCCTCATGAATATAGATGCAAAAATCTTCAAAAAATCCTAGCCAATAGACTCCAACAACATATCAAAAAAAAAATAATACTTTATGACCAAGTGGGGCTCATATCAGGTATGCAGGGATGGCTCAACATTAGAAAAACAATCAACGTCATCTACCACATAAATAAGACAAAGGAGAAGAACCACATGATCATATCAATTGATGCAGAAAAGGCAGTTGATAAAATCCAAACCCTATTCCTGATTAAAAAAAGAAAAAAAAAAAAAAAAAAAAACTCTCAGCAAAATAGGAATAGAAGGAAAATTCCTTAGCATCATAAAGGGCATATAAGCAAAACCAACAGCCAACATTATTCTCAATGGAGAGAGACTGAAACCATTCTTGTAAACAGGAACCAGACAAAGATGCCCTCTATCACCACTTCTATTCAACATTGTATTGGGGGTCGTAGCCAGGGCAATAAGGCAAGAAAAGAAAATCAAAGACATCCAAATTGGTAAGGAAGAAGTAAAACTATCCCTATTTGCTGAGGAGCTCTGGTGGTGTGGTGCCTAAGGGACTTGACTGCTAACCAGAAGGCTGGCGGTTCAAACCCACCAGCCACTCCTGGGAAGAAAGGTAGGGCAATCTACTTCCATAGTGATATCACCTCAGAAACCCAAGGAAGGGGTCACTATAACTCAGCTCCAACTTCACGGCAGTGCGATGCTTTTTTTTTTTTTTTTTGCGTTATGATCCTATAGGTAGAAAACTCAAGAGACTCAGCAAGGAAACTACTGGAACTAATGGAGAGATTTAGCATAGTGATGGGACACAAGATGAACATGCAAAAATAAGTTTGATTCCTGTACATCAGCAAAGAGATTGCTGAAAAGGAAATAAGGAAATCAATACCATTTACCATTAAAAAAAAATCAAAAAACCAAACTCACTGTCGTTAAGTCATTTTCTGACTCATAGAGACCCCTCCTTGGTTTTCTGAGGTGGTATCACTATGGAAGTAGATAGCCCAACCTTCCTTCCGAGGAGTGGCTGGTGGGTTTGAACCGCCAGCCTTCTGGTTAACAGTCAAGTGCCTTAGACACTACACTACCAGAGCTCCCTCTGTAGAGATACCGGCTCAGAAACCCAAGGGTGGGTCGCTACCAGTCCAACAGACTTGACAGCAGTGAGTTTGTTTGTTTTAATGAGAAAATTTAAATAATAATGTATTTGAATGTCAAGAACATTTTATGTCTTGGCTAAAACAACTTGGAAAACAACAGGGTCAAGCTAATAATATGAACATTTTTATTTTCAAATAGCTGGTAACTGTTAGCTGTTGTTAGTTGTGCAGTCGGCCTGCCACTCACTGAGACCCTTGCACGACAGGACTGGATCACTGTGATGCACAGCGTTTCACCAACTGGTTTTCTGAAAGTAGATCGCCAGGCCTCTTTCTTAGTCTGTCTTTGTCTAGAAGCTCCCCTGAAGCCTGTTCAGCTTGTGTGTTCAGCACACAAGCCCACAGTGACAAGTGGATGGCGACCGCGCTTGAGGTGTGTTGGTTGGGAAGGAACCTGGTTCTCCCTGGGAAGTGAGAATTCTACCACTGAACCACTACTGCCCCCAACTGTTAGTTGTTGGAGATTACAGAAAATGTCCAATGAAGGCAGAAATGGTCATTGATGGGACATTAATACGCCACCAGTCATAAAAGGAATCCATTTTGCTCTGAAACATCATGCCAGTATACTTTGTTGTCTAACTTGAATTTTCACATTCTTATTTACTGTTACATAAGTCTGTCTTCAAAACAAGTGCTATTTACTTCTTAAAAAAAGTCAATGCTTGTATAGCTTAAAGGTAAACATATGCCCGCTGAAGAACCTTGCCATTCCACTTTGAGGCTTCTCTCTGCTTCGGTTCTCCAAATGCTATAAATGTAATTCACAGAAGCTCCAAGCTGGAAACCACCCAAACGTCCATCAACAGTTGAGTGGGTAACTGCATTAGGGTACCTGCATGCTACTCAGCAATAAAGGGAAACGTCTGATACACGCAGCTACAGCAATGACTCTCAGAAGTACTGTGCTGGGAAAAAATGCCATACTCAGAAAAACCACAGTCGTACAATTCTAGATAACCAGACAAAACCAACTGGTGGTGAAAAGAAGTGGGGTAGTGTTTATCCCAATGGAGAATGTGACTAGGAGGGGAATAAGGGGCAACTTTTTTTTCTTAATCTGGACACTGGTTACATGGGGGATTGTGGTGGTTAAGTTTGTATGTCAACTTGGCTGGGCCTGGTTGAGTGGCTGGGCAGCTGGTGGTAGTTATGCCCCATTATGACACTGGTAATCAGATCCATGGTGGGATCTACCACAAGCAACTGAATAGCTGCTTTTGGGATGCAGTTTGCTTCTGGCATATAAGTAGCGACCTTGCATGTAGCTGAGTCATTGTTCAGAAGCCTGCCATGCTCTGCCAACCTTGGGACTTTCAATGGACTTGAATCAATGACCTGCCATGTTATTTGGTAACTACAGGACTATGCCATTTTATTTGTAGATCTTGGGCTTGTTAGCCTCAGCAGCCAGTAGCCGAGTGAAGAGATGCCTCTAGATTCAGTGGGCAGGAACCAAGAGGCAGAGCTGAAGCCCAAGGTCGAGGAGCTTTCACCCAGCCCCTAGAGCCTGGCACTTGGAACTCAGACTTCTAGCCTCCTGAACTGTAAAAGAATAAACTCCTGCTTGTTAGGGCCATACCATTGGTGGTATATTTTCTGTTAGAGCAGCACTAGGTAAGCAGAACAGGTATTCACTGTGAAAATTCATCAAGCTGTGCAGTCAGGATATGTGCATGTTTCTGTATGTATTTATTTATTAAATTACAGTGCCTTCACAGAGAGGAAATTCTTTCAAAGAAATATCCTTCATGTGCTAAAGTGCTGTTCCCAAAGAGGACAACTGAGATTATTTTAGGCTGTTCATAGACATGGCAGGGAGCTCTGGTAGCATGGTACCTAAGGCACTTGACTGCTAACCAGAAGGCTGGCGGTTCAAACCCATGAGCCACTCCTCGGAAGGAAGATGAGGAAATCTACTTCCGTAGCGATACTGCCTTGGAAACCCA